ATTTCAACTACTGGGTCATCTTTGTCTTCTCCAACGTCGATCTGAAACAGATACGGTGGCAAACAGATTAATAATGAGCAACTGAAATTAATTATATCAAGTATTCTCACCTTAATTAATTGTAGAACGTAACATTCCAAAGTTTACAGGTGTGAAAAGTAAACCAACTCCAGGAGGAATACTGTAGCAGAGAATTTGCTATTTCAGTGGAATTCAAATAAATATCCAGTTGCTCTCAATCTTGGGTTGAATATTAACTGCATGATGTTACAAGGTGAAGACGAAACAGCAAATCAAGAATATAATCCATGCATGACCACACCCATGTAGACATTGGCTGTTTCAGTATAACCAAACTGAACTTTAATTCTCTCCCATTTATTATATAACCTGCAGAAATGGATAAAAAACATATTAATTACACGTATAATTAAGAAACATAAATAAAAAGCAAGTAAAAATAGCTCAATTATAAAATAACAAGCGTTACTTTCACGCCATTTTACATTACAACCACAGATCACGACATAGAGCAACTAATATTATAAATGGCATGCATTATCACCTTAATTAACTGCAGAAAGTATCTTTTTAAGGTTCACAGATCGAATGAACAAGCCAAATCCAGGAGGAATACCACTGCAGACTATTCGTTGTTTCAGTTTTCAAATTAATATCCAGATGCCTCCTCCTCACAGGTTCAAAACTATGTTGCAAGGGTAAGACGTCAAAAGCATCAGCTCTTTCAGTACCATCAGAATTACTTCCTTTTCACTTGGACAATCTATAGAAACGGGCAAGAAAACGTTAATTACAACTTCTAAAGCATGTAAATCAGTAATATTTTAATGTGGCAATGTGGTGTTAAAGTTAGAAGCTAACTATTGTGCTGATGGAATGGCCAGTTCCACATTTTGCTTTTGCCGCTTCTAAAACGTCGTTAAAAAGTTGTCTGATGAAAGTAAGTTACAAATGCTTAAGAAATTGAAGTTTCTGGGATCTGGATTAATATTTTTAATTGATACAGTTTACTCACCAGTTTATTCGTCATAAATCCTTCCTTCATCAATGCCACAATGTATCCCTTCTCAATGGAAAAAAGGCACTTTTGTGCTTCTTTTTAGGATAGCTACTTTCTGAATCGAATGAACACTGACACAACCAAGGCACTGTAAATTAATGCCATCCAGGGTTTTTTTAATGTTCCTGTGAAATGAAATCTTATAAGTATTCAGATATAATTAATTAGCCTCCTTGGTAAATAACGTGCATGACACAATACTAAAGTTAATATCAAACAAATATACTAATTATGCCATGTATGCTCACCGTAATTAATTAGAAGATTCTCCAAAATGAAACGAAACCATGACGGGCAACTTGCTTTTTTTTCAGTTGCATCAAAATGAACACTCTTCCATTCTTATTTATCATCAATCTGTAAAAATTGAGAAGAAAAACAAATAAACTACATTATTAAACAATTAAAACACGAAATACAATGAAAGTATGCACCGAAAAGCAAATAAAATTTCAAAATTTTAAAAATGGCGACGTAACGTCGTTTTTAATAAAAGATGGCAAGAAGATAGACAAGATCGTGTAACGGTGTAACACAGCAAGATCTATAAAATCCATAGATTCATAAATAATTGTCAAGTTATGCTACGGATATATAGATAACTATGAAGGAAAAACCTATAGAGCTTAATGAAAAAGCAAATCACCAAGTCAACATTAAATTACTATAAATATTCTTCCTCACTTTCCTAGAATCTTTAATCGATGTTCTCTTTGAATATTTGTTCTCTATGAACTCTCATGATACGAGTCGACAAATGTAGTGGTGCTAATTTGATTTTTTCAGAAAAAATTTAGATAAACTGAAATTTTGCAATACATACAAAGTTGCGAAATTAGGATAGCTATTGCATGAAGCACTGATGACGTAGAAAAACGCCAATCAGAAGCGAAGAATACGATGAATCTTGTGACTATTATCATTATATCTCTATCCTGTCATCTACGTTAATAACTATGTTTTTTGTCCGCATTTTTATAACTATAAAAACCATTAACAGAAATAGTATAAAAAAATTGTAGTGTACAATACACAACGTAAAAATACTTAGATTAGACAAATATCCAAAACAAAGTAAAAAGCATTCATTTACATAAACAATATAAAAAAATTTAATTATTTTCATAGATTGCTTGGGTATGAACCAAAAACATTTAAGTAGATTATTTTAAAAAATAAAAAGCTTAGTTGGTTAAAATTTCTACTCCTACTGTAACATTTCTATATCTTTTTCAAGCCTACAGCAGCGCACTCGTTTAATTTCGCCTGAAGTAAAATAATTTGAATTTAAAATAAGAAGTTTTAAACAGTTTAGTATTGGCAACATGGCAACCCGCCTTACTGCAAAGCATTCTCATCAACAGTGAAGCAGCAGATGTAATTCCTGTATTAGACTCATGATACGAGTCGACAAATGTAGTGGCGCTATTAGCGCTAATTTGATTTTTTCGGAAAAAATTTAGATAAACTGAAATTTTGTAATACATACAATTCTAACAAAATAACGGGTGGTTCGACATTCTATTAACAAAAAAAGTAATATATGTTCGCCACCGCATGCATAATGTGCCAGGAAATTTTATGTTGCGAAAATTGACAATAAATTAATAATACACAATATTAATTGTACTGTATATGCTCACCTTAATAAAATCGAAAGAGAATTTTAATTTTGCATGCAAGGATGTTAAAATGAACATAGCTTTCCTTTTTTATTAGACCATTTGTCAAGCACAAATGCCACGCAACAATTGGTGTCAATTAAATTAGCATATCTTCAGTAGTTTTTGAATCTAAAACCGAAACAATTTTCCTTTTTTTTAACAGAACTAATAGACGCACAATTATGATACGTATTTTAATCCCGCAAACGACGCACAATTTATTGATAAAGTTTGAACAGTGGATTATGTATATCGTGCGTCAGATTCACACGGTTACCGTCGTAGCTTTATAACCATTTTATAACCGTTAACCTTATCTATGCTTACAGTATGCTACTCTATGAACATATGAACGTCATACGATAGATAATCATATGAAGATGCTTGAACGTAAATACCTTAAATACAAATACTAATCATAATAATGAATGTGTTAAGTTCTTCTCTTTTTGATTGTCCCTTTTGCTTATTTTTTGGACATCAATAAACTTTTAAGGATGGTGCTGTGTGCAGTTCCGTCCTGCAACAACAGAAGCGATTCCCAAAATTGGAAAAAAAATATTTCTAATAATGGAGTGAGACGTTTGGGAGGTGTCAAGATTACCTTTCACAGGTAAATTAATATAGGTATAGTTTTGTATTTAAATGTTCTAAAATTGGATGTTTTAAAAATATCTGCAGGTTACCTAAAGACCCTGAAAAGCGGAAATGTTGGATGGAATTATTAGGAATCAACCAATCTTCTTTTAAGTTGATCGACAATGTCCGAGTTTGCTCCCAGCATTTTGAAACCAGTTGTTTCAATAAACGAAGCATTCGAAAGCTGTTAAAAGCAGATGCTTTACCGTTAACACATGTGAAAAATTCCGCTGCTATGATCCAAATAACCCAAACTGATTCTACACAAAATTCAATATCTCGAAATATTCTAACAAGTTTTTCAAGAAGTGGTACGTTTTCTTTTTTAAAGGTTTCAGTTTTTGAACTTAAACTTGTTATTAAACCAAATCTGCAACGTAAAACATACACTTTCAAATAAACTATGAAATGCATTTCTGTTAAAGCATGTAATCAGATAATATTTCTTGGGTTTTACTGAAAAATTGAAAATTTCCATTTGCAAATTTTACTTAATTTATATACATGATAAAATATGGTTTTGGATCTAGGAAATACTACTATGTATGATTCTTTTAAACTTAACTGCTTCATAGTAGTTTATGCATTCACTGTTAACAATCAATTTTCTTAATTATGTTAAAACCTATAACCCATTTTCTTGCAGACATTTCAAAATTCTGAGTTAAAACTTGAATTTTCTTACCACAAACATTTTTTACTTTGGCTTATTTCTAATGATTTCTTAGTTGGGAGAGATATAAAATAAAAAATTTTAATTAAATTAATTTCCTTTCATATTTTGTATTAAGTATTAATTATAAAACGGATAATTTCCTAAATAGTAATAATTTTTGGAAATTTGTTTACTTCTTGCTTTAAAGAGACGGATAAATCAAGAGCAGATTACATGCGAAGATATAGGCAATGTAAAAGTGAAGAAAAATTGAAAACTGCAGGAGTAAATCTAACAAATCAAACATTATCTTCTTTTTTACATACGGACATTAAGAAGGAACCTGCAAATTTTATGTAAGTTTTAATTTTTATAGTCTTCTGTTATTGAGCAATATGAAACTGAAAGTGTAAGAAAAGTTTTAGTAGTTTAAGTTTATCTTTCCGTACAAACCCTTTAATGAATGCTGAAAGGTACCTGTCTTATTTTTAATGTTGTTATTCACATTTTTGTTGTGAAACAAATCATCAAATAGTCAGCACGATGCATTTGCCACAAAAGCATCCTAGTGCAAAATAAGTATAATAATATTGCAATTATAAAAATTAGATGTCGGATTTTTATGTAGATGGTCTTTAGCTAAATTGCTTGTCACTTAAATCGTTTAATGTTACTAATAGATTGAATGAACTATAGGGACATGCATGTTAAAATAGTTAATTCAATTACAAATATATAGAAAATTAGTATTGTCTGTTTGCTCATTCAATTAGTAATATTGTTGATAAGATACCCAAAAAAAGGAAAAAACAAATCATCAAATAACTTATTTTATTAATTGAAATTCTTTGCATATAAGTACGTAATTGTTCTTGTTTTCTATGAAGAGCAAATCCAATAACAATTAGTACAAAATAGTACAAAATTTTAAATTATAAGGCAGTTATTTATTCTATACATATTTGGTGTTTATTTATACAGCAAAATTTAAAAACGTTTTTATTACAGAGAAAATACAGAATCACTCTCACTACTGACTGTGAAAACAGAAGAATATGAAAACCCTACTATCGACGTGTAAGAACCATTTTTAAACTCTTATAAACAGTACATGAAACAAAATAGTTACATTCAATCATAAAGGAAATAAAATAATGTAACTTTCATTTTAGCGATCCAGAATGGGAAGATTGCATAAAGACAGAAGAAGGAATAAATGTAAAAGAAGAATCAAAGAATGACAAAAATTTTGCATTGAAAATGGATGTGAAAGAAGAAGTAGAGAGTGATATTATTAATGAACAAGAAGGAATAAAACGTCACAGACTATTTATTGTTACACAACCATCCCCTGTTATTGAAGAAGATGAAATAAAAGAAGTTATTGCTGATCCCCTGCAGGTTATTGAGCCAGTTGCAAAAAAGTTGTCCTGCTTCAAACCATCCATTTCATTGCGCGATATCCGTACTTTGACCGAGAAAATTCCTACACATTTGCAATCAAACGAGCTAACAGTACCGTTAAAATACCTCAAGGCGAAATGAAATAATATCCCTATGTAAATGGTCCAATGTCCAGTTGAAATCTGCATTGAATGTTTTTAAATCAAGTATTGACAGCCAAAATATCAATCAAAACGATGAAAAATCGGTTAATGTCTTTTCGAAATATTATTCTGAAAATGAATTTCTTGAATTCTTTTTTGCCCACTACACACTTCCTCAAATTAATGAGGAAAAATTTGTTGCTGTTGTCACACCCCCGCCGGGAATCGAACCCGGGCTCTTTGGCTTTACGCGCCAATGCTTTGACCACTAAGCTACGAGAGATGAGAGATGACAACAGCAACAAATAAACAAATGCAAAAACGGATTCAAGTGAAGCCTTAACTTAGGTAGTCTGAAAACCGAAACGCGCTTCTATTCCTAATAAGAAAAATGAAGTAAAAAGGGGATCTCAGCTATGAAGAAGTGAATAATGTTGATAAAATAGGACCGTAGATATTCTTAATAGAAACAATAAATTAATTCAAACGAAAATGAGTTCTGGTATTCTTATTGGATGCGTTGGAGTACACCTACAGCACTTCAACTGAACAAAAGTGTGGCATTCGATTTGTTGTACATCAACTTTAGAATTGGTTAAAGGTAAATAAAAATAAATAAAATATTTTTATAATTTTGCCTAGTTTAATATTATATAATTTTTAAAAGCCGTATAGATTCTTTTATGTCTAGGGAATAGCTTTGTTGAAATTTTACCCACTAATATTTTTGGTTTTAGACCCGCAATAGTTTAATCCGAAGTGAATGAGTCTAAAAAGCATAATCGCTAGTGGAGGATATAAAACGCATTCATCTGCGACTGCGCATCATTTTTGGTCTTGTTAGTTATCACTGACGTATTATATGTATTTATATTATCTATGATTTATATCTTATCTATGGTTGCCACACAAACGTAGAAAGCCATATCTTTCTCTCTATGCAAAATTGAGTATCCACCATTGCTTTGGTGTCAAATACCCTTTGTGTATCTATTATCTATGGATAAAAGTAGACATCATAGTGAACGTTATATGATATAATATACAATAAACATTAGTGTGTAAAACTGGTAAAATTTAGTGAACCATAATTTCAATAGTATTACATAGTATAAAAAATAAAATTATTTTGAATAATATTATGCTATAACATTGAGTGGTGAATAAAAGACATCATAGTGGACGTTATACATAATATAAAATATAACCTAAAACCACAATATAAGAGGTCTTGTAATACAGTTTACAGACCATTGTTCGTGTGTGTGGTATTTCATTTGGAATATTAAACATTATCATGGCAAAAACATCAACAGAAAGATCGAGACTACACCGTCTGCGAAAATCTCAGCAAGCCCAAGCTAAACGACAGGCACCAAAAACCGGTGCACAACGAGTACGTGAGTACAGAGCGCGTCGAAAAGCATTGAAAGCGACAGCTGCTATTGTTAACAATCCTACGTCACAAATAGGAGACATAGCTCCTGGTATGTTTGTGTGTTTGAAGAAGTTTCACTTCGGTAGCATGTTGTATAATTGTTTGGGAAAAGTTTTTCAGATTCTTGTTCAGAATTATTAATTTTAATAAAATCTAACCTGAGATCGACAGAAAAGAATATGTGATATGTAAATTTGATATCATTTCACTTTCAAGGTGATATGGAAAACTACATTTTGAAAAAAGACGTTTTGCCCCACATTTTCAACTGCCAAAATAATGGGAAATCTGCGGAAAATCTTCATCTCACTCTGAGCAAGGGAAGTTGTCTATCCCAAAGGACGGAAATATTGGAGGATTCATCTGTTGCACATCCTGAATCATTGAACTCTGAAGAAATTGATGAAAATCAATCATTCAATATCATATCAGGTAAGAATTAAAAAATTGAAAGGGCATATGCGGGTATCAATACTTATACAATAATTTTTTTTTGATAAAGATAATATGTAGCTAGGTANAAAATCCTTGTCACCTTTCTTCACAACTTGAACGAAAATCTGGTTCATCTTCTTGTTTATTGGAATCTTGTAATTTAATTTCTAAGATTGTTTTATACGTGATTTTATTCTGAATAAAAGAATTAAATTACACGTTCTTTCTCAACCAAACAAGAGTTCTTGACACAAATAAAACATTAAAAAACAACATAAACACGGTCAACTTGACCAAATCAAAATGAAGTTATAACTATGATTATTTATACTAAGCTTAACAACTATCCCCAAGGTAGCAGTACTAACCAGAAGTTACATATATCGTAATATTTTTAATTTTTAGAGAAAGATCAAGATGAAGACAAACTTGATACAGTTGCGATTGGTAATAAACGAAAAAGAAGTTGCTCAGTTGAATTCACTGCAGAAGGTTTGGGTCATACTTTAGAATGCAAGAGTTTTACATTCGAAAGAAATTTAGGAATAGAAAACGATGAGGAATTCCATTTTAAAAGTTTAAATGCTGACCTAGGTAAGAATTTTAAAAGTTTTCCGAGTTAAATCGTTAATAAAAATTTTCTATTAATTTTGCACGTAGTTTTTAATACTTACACATGTACTTTGATTTGTAATTGAATTCCGATTTGTTAATTGTTTGAAATTAAATCTCAAATAGAAAAATTATTTAAAAAAATAAAAATTTGTGGAATGTGAAGCCTTTTTTTCTAAGTTTATAACGTTGTATTTTTAGAAAATTGTCATGAAAATATACAAGACGTAACTGCTGTAGATAGTGAACAAAGGGATTGTTCAACTAAAGTGATAATAGAAAGTATCGATGTTAATTTAGGTTAGTTATTTATAATTTTAACATAATTAGGTTTAAATATAAAAAATCGTAAAACATTTTAGAATCAAAAACCTCCAAAGTTGATAAGAAAGATGCAGCAGAAAACAAAAATGACGAGGAATTGGATTCTGAAAACTTTGCGGTTAATTTAGGTAAAATTATACAAATTATTTAATGGTAGGCAAGTAAATTTATGTGCATGACCAACCGTTCACATTGACAGGTAACGGAAGAAAGAGATGTTTAATAGAATGGAGTCATGAAGAGAAAGACGTGATGGAAAAATATTTCTGTAGACATATTAAATTGAGAATTGCTCCAACAAAGCAAGAAGTGCTACAGATAATAAAATTGTATCCAAAAATATTCAAGGATATAAAATGGGATGCTATACAAGCTTATGTTTGTAACAAATACAACCCTAAAAAGTAATTAAAATTGTACATTTAATTGAAAAAAAAAAAATAGTTTTCTTTAGATGTGTGTTTAATCTCAAATTAACATTTCTTGAATACTTTAGATTTATTTTTTTTATTCTAAGATTAAGGACACAAAATCAAATACGAGTAAGTCAGAAAAAGTTTTATTTATAGATTTTCCGCGATAATTATTTCGCAATACCGTGGCTTTCTCAGGTAGAGAAAGTGCTGTTATTTTTTTACCGAAACAAGCTACAGTGTGGTAAAATAATTATTGTGGAGCTTCTTTTAACAAAAATTGTTGGAATACTTACTCGTGAATGATTTTGCGCTCGTAAAACAGAGTTGAATAAGAAATATTTACACTATTTTTAATTAAGGATTATTTTTGCTGAGTATATTTTTCATTTTAGCCAAAAAATTGCTTTGTCTCCAGTTTACACCGGTTCCATTAAAGTGTATGTAATCATTTTCAACACTCACATTCCACCACACACTACTGAAAATACAACTGAAATATAATTTTACTTTTTAGGGAAAGTGATTGTATACCATTCGAGTCGGTTCAACGCAAGGAGAACGAGTAAGCATTTTGTTGTATATATGTACGTATAATAAAATATATTATTCCTTCGTTTTTTTTTCAGCTATATATATCCTTTTTTACATATAGATATTAAAGAAGAACCAACACATCTTATGTAAGACTAATATCAAATTTTAAGGAGTCTATTATTAATTGAGCAGTTAAATCGGTGTTTTGCCGGAATTGTCTACGGCGTGCTGATGAGAACCGGAGAATCCGAAATCGCGATCTACGTCCGACAATTTCGGCAAACCATTTATGAATTTATGTTTAGTTGAATCATGTTTAAATATTTTATCGAAAATGTCTTTATTAATACATTAATAGTTTTCTTTTTATTATATTGTATTTTAGCGATCCATTGTTGGAAGAAAACATATCGGAGATTAAAATAAAAGAAGAACTGAAAATAATTACAGAGTGTGAAGGTGAAGAAGATAAAATTGCTGTCTCTCCGCCTTCCAGTCCTATTAACGATATTGTTCGAAATTTGTTGGAAACACCGTTCAATCAATGGAAAGACAATGATAAATGCGAAATTTTGCAAAATGGACGACCAACTAATAAACTTTCGATTTGTGCAAAAAAAGAAATAAAAAAGACCGGTAAATCTTATAACATAAACTTTAAATCGGTTTGGTTTAAAGAGTATCTGTGGCTCTGCAGCAGTACTGTGCTGGAAAAATTGTTTTGTTGGCCCTGTTTACTATTTAGTAATAAAAACTCCGTATGGAATAAGGAAGGATTCTCGGATTTGTTAAATATAACAAGAGCATTACGCAAACATGCAGATTCTGTAGAACACTTGAAATCTGAATTGATGCTAAGAAATTTTGATAAAAATCAAAGCATGTCCCAAAACTCTGTAAATTTCAGACTTTTTAAAATACAGTTCAACGAGCATGTTAGATTAAATAGACTCCTTCTTCACGTAGTTATTGATGCAGTATTATATTTAGGCAAACAACATCTTGCATTTCGAGACCATGACGACAGCATTGATCCCATAAATCAGGGGAATTTTAAAGAGTTGTTAAGTCTATTATTAATCCGAAGTCCAATAGAAATAAGGAATCAATATGAAAAAATTAAAAATGTATTTACAGGAGATTGTCAATCAATTGAAAATGATTTAATTGGATGTATTTCTGAATACATAAACGATTATGTTACTACAGAAATAAGTGAATCTAACTTCTTTTCAATAGAAGTTGATGACGCTACAGATATAACCCAATCTTCACAGTGCTCTTTAATAATCAGATTAGTTAATTCAGAAGGTAAATTGGTGGAACGTTTTATGGGATTCCATGATGTGAGCGCAGATAGAACATCGGATATGTTGTACAATATATTACATACAATTCTCGAGCAATTTAACTATGAACATAAATTAGTAGGACAATGTTATGATGGGTCAAGCGTAATGTCTGGACATTTAAATACACTTCAGAAAAAAATTAAAGATAAGGCCCCTCAAGCTGTTTTTGTCCACTGCGTCGTGCATCACCTTAATCTGGTGCTACAGCAAAGTCTCGTAAAAATTTTATCTTGTCGCCTATTCTTTGCAAGCGTTAGTGGAATTTCTTCTTTTTTCAAAGACTCTGAAAATAGCTCATATACACATAACTCCACTTCACCAACTGTACCAAAAACTCGATGGTCTTGTCATTCTAAGTTATTGAATGTAATTATTGAAGACTGGAATAAACTAAAAGATGTTTTTGAATTTATAGTAACTTGCGAACAGTCAGATAAGAAATCAATACAACCTGCAAAAGGGTTTTTAAACGATATGAATAGCTTTGAATTTACTTTTTTGGCCGTCGTGTTTAATGAAATTTTTTGTTCCTTCGATATTTTATACGACATCCTTCGAAAAAGATCATTAGATATAATTTACTGCATGTCAGAGGTAAAAAAAACTTGCGAAATATTAAGAGGAAAAAGAACGGATGAGGTCTTTAACACTCTGTTTCTTAAAACTATTGCACTGACAGAATTCAACACGAAAACGAGTGTGAAAAGGAAAGATGTGGATTTTGACCAAGATCAAATTAAAACAAAATGCCAAGTGCAATTTTTTGAAATTTTAGACCACATTTTAATGGAAATGGATGTTAGATTTCAGGATTGTGAAAAAATTAAATTTGTTTGCCTTATCGATACCACCCAATTTGAACGATACAAATCGTGTTTTCCTTCTGAAGCTTTGCAAAATTTACAATTCCATTATCCAAATATATTTACAAAAATGCAGCGCCTTCGAAACGAGCTAAGTCTGATTTATGCTGATGAAAATTATCGAAGTAAAACAACGCTAGAAGTTTTTGAACAGCTTCATGAGAACAAGGACACTTTTACAGAAACCTTCAAATTATTTTCGCTTGTTTTGACGATTCCTTCTACTGGTGTTTCTGTTGAAAGAAGTTTCTCATGTCTTGCAAGAATAAAAACATATTCAAGAAGCACTATGAGCACAAGCCAAAAGAAACTTTTATCGTTAGCCAATATTTCAATACAAAAAGAATTGCTACTTGATATTATGAAGAAGCAACCATTCTATGAGGACATAATCGATAAGTTTGCAAGTCTAAACGACAGAAAAATAAATTTAATATATAAAAAATAAGTAAGTACCTGCCTATATCCGAGTATAAATGGTAACATTTTATACAATTTTTTTTCTCTCGGGAGTCTCAGATATACTTAATCTATTTAGATTTAACACGAAATATTCACATTTTTCGACATATTCCCTGACGCATATTCTGAGGGATATTCGAATGTATACTGTACCTGACCCTAAGTTTAGTTTTCCTAGATTTTTTTACATCTCACCTATTTTTGAAGGCACAAGCTACCACTGGATTCCATTAAAGAACAGTCCACTTTCATAAGAAAGTAGCAACAAAAATACTCCGCAAAAATGAATTATATCCACCCAACTAAAGTAACTACCACAATCTGGAGAAAAAAATCTGGCCACAAAGTGTTGAAACGTTTAGGTTTCGATGCTGAAAAACGATGCAATGAACTTGTGAATGAAAATGAAACTATACACTATACAACATGTGTAAGTAACAATTTTCAAAAATACTGAAATATATTAGTGTTTCTTTTTTTCCGTCATATAGGAATATTCCTTTTTATAGAGATAAACGGACATTAAAGAAGAATCAATACGTCTTATGAAGATTTTAGTTTTGGTTTCTAAGAGGTCTACCATTAACTGGTACTGTGAGTGTGAATGTGTAAGCCAAGTTTCGATGGTTATACTCTCTTTCCTATTTCTTCTTGGTCCCCACAAAGGAACTTGCTGTTACACTTATCCGAAAGATATAACGCTTGCGTTTTAAAATTTTGGGGGGGGGGTGTGACCAGAATTGATTTTTCGAAGCAATAACATTCGATTTGTTGTACATTTACTTTCTAATCAATTGGTTATTGTAATGTGTATAAGGTAATAAAAATAAATAAATTTTAGAGTTTTGTCCAGTTTAATACTTTACAGTTTTTAAAAAGCATGTGCAGTTTTTTATGTTGAAGAATGGATTCACCCCCAAATATTAGGTACTAAAATCTTTGGTGATTTAGACCGCTTTTCATGTCGATGTGTGTTGATATAAAATGCAAGATAAATGTACTATTAGATGGAACATAACATGTATCAACATGTCGCACAGAACGATATCTGACCGGTGGGAGGAGGGGGTTCTGTTTTGGCCAAATTTACTGTTCACCCGAATGAGATTCGCCTATGAACAGTCGTTTTTGCTCCCACGCCCCCTTATGCGAGTGAAAATGATCATGGGTATACAAATCTCATTGCTAGATTTTAAAGAAACATTATTGTCTTTGTATACTTTACAGGCTTGGTCTCAATACAGAATGAGAATTATCACGAAATTTCTTACAGGAATTAAAATATTAAAAATGTTGATTTGAAAATAGAGCTATTATAAATATTAGAACACCCAGATAGTTTTCATAAAAAACCTTATAAATTGCTACACTGATAAAATATATATTCGGCAAAAATCAAATGAAATTTGATGTTTCAAATAGAAATGATAAAAGTATTCAAATACAAAAAAAAATATTTTTTATGAATAGTGTTAAAGTGAGGAAGTAGCGAGGTATCACCTAATTTTCAATTATTTTACGATTAGATGCGTTACGAATTAGTTTCATTAAAATTTTTAAATATTGTTCGGACGATTTGTATTTGTTTAGTACGTTTATTCTATAAGAGATGACACTAAAGTTCTATTCCTTTATTTTATACTACTATTTTGACAGCAGTGAAGAATATTCGTATTGATATACAGCGTGTATATTTACGGTGAGTTACTAATTTTTTTAACGTGCAAATTTAAACTTTATATTGTTTGAAGTGTATGTTATACATTTTTTAAAGTTTAGGTTCTGCTGTTGACATATAATACATTTTCTAAGATCAGAAATCCGAGTAAATATTTTTTTGAAAAACTTGCGTTCGATTAAAAGGTTAAGTGTTTATAATCATTCATTTAAAACAAATGTAAAATATTCTAGCAGTTAAAACAGCTAACCAAATTTGAGTAAATGTTATGGACCCAAAATTGATATAAAGTTGGCTTGTTGCTTGTAAATGTTTCAGTAAAAAGTTGGGTAGACAATTTATGAATATCCGACAAGTATATAAAAATTATAAAGCAATAACCAGCTTTACGCAACGTTGCCAAATTTCGTACTGAATCATTCTTTCAGAATATACAAAGATAAAGTGTATATTATGGTGTATACCTATAACTAGGTATATAATGGTTAAATCGAAATTATTTTATTTATTTCCAAAGCTAAATTTTAATTATTTTTTTAGGGCAGTATTGATTATTTACTGTAAAAGTCTATGTAGCAACCTAGCATAAAATGATAAAAAATATATCGTACCTAATAAGAATATTGTACATTTTGTAAATACTGTGTATACAGTATATGTATTATATATGTGTATCGTCTCACAAACAAAAAATATCAATATTGAATAAAAATACATTAAAATGTTTCTTTCTCGTGTATAAAAGGAATAAGAAAGGATATTTAGAAATTCAACCCATAAGGGAGTGAAAAGTGGTGGTAATATTTATATGGAACATTTTTGTTTTTGGCGATTTACTTGAAAGTTAATCATACAGCTACTTCGGCTTTTTAAAAAAATCAACCTCTAGAAGGGGGGTGAAAACTGGTTGCTACGTTTGTATGAGGCATACCTATTCTACTTGTGGTCAGATTCACTTGAAACTTGGTCTTAAAGTACTTTCATGTAATTAATGAAACACTTATTTCGGCATTTTAAAAAGATTAACCTCTGAAGTGAAATGAAATGAAGTTTAAAGGACAACGTGTCTAATTTTTTGATTGCCCGTACCGTCCGCTTACCGTACTGTCCACTATGCCGAGGTTTTCGGGACTTCCCATTCATAGGGGTATGGTTTCTCAGGCGTACCGTTCAAAATTCTTACATATAACAAACTCATCCCGAAAATGTAGATGGTCAACACAGATTTTTATTTTAAACACGCATCAAACACCACCACGTAAAGAATCTCCACTGCCAGGCATTGTAATAGGTAAATACATAGGCGCAACTGGCATCCAATTTTTGACTTAATTCTGACTTGCAATTTATTATGTGACTTGGATAACTTCAATCTTATTGTTTCTATATCTAAATGAACGTTAATTTATTTTTGATTACAGCAATATTACCAAATGCCTAGAGGACGCCCACAAAAACACCAAACTTTAAACTTTTTGCCACGTCACCATGGAGAACATCCTGTACATTTAAAAGGTACCTAGTACATTTCAGTTATATACAACATCAGTAATTTAATTTTTCTAACGTAAAAACTTCTGCAATTAAAACGGTATTGTTCCCTCTCAAGAGGCACTTTTAAAATGACGAAGAGTAAAATTTAAGATATTTGACAAATAGAACATTAAATAACATTAACAACATTGAAAAAAAAACAGAATTGAAAGTATATGTAGGTACTAAAAATCGCTTGTTGTTGAAACTCGACTAATAGGCAAATATCGTACTGTCCAAAACGCTGGTAATCAAAAATCCTTATATGACCTTGGAGGGAGCGCGTGACGTCACGATACTGTTGAGTGTTCTCAACAGCAGTGTAGGCAATCGCTTTGCGGCCTCTGCAGTCGACAAAAGTGTTCATTATTTACGTAGTTTCGATAATTAAAGTTCCATTTTCCAAATGCCAACCCCCAAAATGAGCTATCGGTGGTGTTATGTGCCTAACTGTGGAAACACAACAAGAAAAACACCGGGAAAACTGTTTTTTTGCGTACCTTTAGAAGAAAGAATGAAAAAAAAGTGGTTTGGTGTTGCTCGTCGCAAGTACATACCAACAAAAACGCGCTTGTTTTGCTGCGAGGATCATTTCATTTTGAAGCATGACATGGAAAACTACTTAAAGTATTCATTAACGGGTACCGCAAAAAAACTGAAAAAAGACGTTCTGCCCCACATTTTCAACTGCCAAAATAATAGAAAAGTTACGGAAAATCTTTGTTCTCCTTTGAAAAAGAGAAGTTGTCAAACCCAAGTGATGGAAACAATAAAGGAGTCAACTGCTACATATTCTGGATCCTCAAACTCCGAAGAAATTGGTGAAAATGAATCACTAAACGTCATAGGTAAGAATTAATAATCGTAAAGAAATACAATTGTGTTTGATAGCATTCAGGCTTTTAGAAATCGCGATTTTGAAATATTTGAGTTGAAAAATATTAGTTTTTAAATTTTAATTCAACGATTCGTATTTGTTGTTTACTCGAAGTTCTTGAATGTAAAAATTAGACAATTTAATTCTGGTAAAATAAAATTTCAGACGTTTTGGAATTTAAGAGTATGTTGCGATTTTCAAATTTGGATTTCAAAAATCTAGATAGATAATACGATATTTTAGATCAATCTTAATAAATTGAGGCCATATTTCAAGAAATCGTGATAGTTGATAGAACGAACTGCTGAATAAATGCACCACGTATGCTTAATGTTTGTTACTCATAATCAAAGGGCTGCCAGAAGCTGCTGGACGTATGCTAAACGTAGTTGCTTCAAGTCCCTACAGTATCGTGACGCCATACTACTGAAAAGCAATCCCGAGAGGCCCGAGAATTGATGGATTTTCAAAGTAATTTTTAACGAAAAATTGAAGGCGAAACAAATTAAATAAAATTCTTATTGAATAAGGAACAAAACTATTTTGCATATTTCCGTGTATAATAAATTTAGAATGAAATGAATATTGTTTTAGATACAGCTCAGAATAAATATCTGTTCGGGTGAAATGTTCAGGGGAAGTGAGAGTGCATTCGGATAAACAAGGAGCGGCGTAGTCTAGCGGTTTAATTAGATCGTAGATCATTCGGAAGGACAACTATTACTTGCCCTGGTTCAAGCTTTCTGTAGGTTTCATAGAACTTACAATTAGACCATTCAGGTAAATGCTGAGGAAATAGTATTCCACAAATAATTTTTCACTTCTCTTCTGTCTTCATTTCGTTCAGTTCGTTTTTCTCTCTCTAACCTACACTATCCACCCATTCCCACGAAACTTAAAAGGAGGCTGAAGAAGATTTTTCCCTTTGAGCAGGGTGTAGGGTGTATGGCTCACCAGAATTAGTAACTGGTGGGAATAAAACATTCATTTTTGTTAACCTGTCCTATTTACATAACTGTTCTAGTTATGTTCTGTCATAGTTAGTAAGTAATCTGGCAGATTCAATTGATTCATAGTAAATAATCTTTCACTTCTCTTCTGTCTTCATTTCGTTCATTTCGTCTTTCTCTTTCCAACCTACACCATCTACCCATTCCCACGAAACCTAAAAGGAGGCTGAAGAAGGTTTTCCCCTTTGCACAGGGTGTAGGGTGTATGGCTCACCAGAATTAGTAACTGGTGGTAATAAAACATCCATTTTTATTAACCTGTCCTATTTTCATAAATGTTCTAGATACTACACGGTCATAGTTAGTAAGTAATCTGCCAGCTCCAATTGATTCACGGTAAATAAGTTTTGAGAATCGAGAAAGGCTTTGCTACTTGAACCACCCTCATGTGTTGCCCTTAAATGAGCCCTTGCCGATATTTATTCTGAGCTGTACCTACTTTTTTTTCATCCATTACTTTTTATTTTTGTATTTTCAGAGAATGGTCAAAATGAAAAACAATCTGATGCAGTTGCAAAAACTAATGAACGAAAAAGAAGTTGTTCGACTGAATCAACTACAGAAGGTTCAGGTTAGTAAAAAAATAACATTTACGGGAATAACATACCTATTTCTAAATTATACCATATTTCAGAATCCAATAATTTCACATTAGAAAGAAGAGGTACAGCTGAATTAGGAACAAAAAATGGCAAGGAATTCAATTCTGAAAGCTTGAATGCTGACCCAGGTAAGAATTTAAAAAATAGTCTAGTAACTTTGCCCGTGCTTTTTTATATTTCAATTTGTTAATTAGGTACTATGCATTCCTTCATTCTTTGGTAATTGTTTGAAATTAAACCTTAGAAAGATTAAAAAAAAAATTGTGGAATATGCAGCAGTAGGTAGACAACACTCGTTTCCGACCAAAATTCCATATATTTTTTTATGAAGGTTCATTTTCAACGTCTTTTGGTAGGGAACGAAGTTTACCTATCTATTTGCCACTTTTTATTGAACTTTATAGAGTGGTGTTTTTAGAAAATAGTGATGAAAAAGAAAAACAAAATGTAGCTGCTGTAAATAGTATACAAAAGGATTTTTTAACTGAGGTGACTCTAGAAAATAGCGATGTTAATTCAGGTTAGTAAAATTACTATTAAAAAATTGCACCACATTCTACAATAAAATTTTTTTAATGATGAGAAATCGAATTCTGAAAACATTGGCGCTAATTTAGATAAAGTAGCTGAAAATGTTTATAGTAGGTATAGACATGTAATGTAAAAAATAAACAGGGCAACTTAAAATATTAAAGTTCATTTATAATAATTTTTCCAACTTGTTTCAATGTAAGCTTACTTATGTAGATGACCAACCGTTCACGTTGAGAGGTTACAAAAGAAGAAGGAGAAATTTAATGAAATGGAGTGATGAAGAAAAACAAGTAACGGAAAAATTTTTCCGTAGACATATCAACCTGAGAATTTCTCCAAAAAAGCGAGAAGTACTACAGTTAATAAAATTGCATCCAAAACTATTCAAAGATCGAAAGTGGGATGTTATAAAAGTTTATGTATGCAACAAATACAATTCTAAAAGGTAACTAAAATTGTATTTTTAACAAAAAAATATTTGAATTTTAGATGTTTCTTTTCATTTGAAATTAAAAATTTTGAAATTTTTTTATTTTATTTTTTTACTGGCTTCGTCTTGTTAAGTATATTTTTCATTTAAGCAAAAGTATGGCTTTGTCTCCAGTTCAGACAGATTCTATTGATTTGTAAGTAATAATTTTATAAATTTACATTCCATACACTGCTAAAAAGTACAATTGAAATATAATTTTACTTTTTAGGGAAAGTGATGGTATGTCATGCGATTCAGCTCGAAGGAAAGAGATTGAGTAACTATTTTAATGTATTTACATAATACAATGAG